TCAATGTATTAGAAAATTATTCTCAATACTAATTGTATACGGGTTAAATCTCAATGTACGTAACTATTACTGCAAGTTCCTTCTGCCCGGAAGCTGAGCTGAGTCCATTTTGGGACACATCACACGATGCGACACTGCGCTTGTAAAATAACTGCCACAATCTGATGAAAGACTCAATTGCGGCCAAAGATGTCATACATCACAGAATTCCTAATTTTGAAAATTAATTCTGACTAGGATTCCTTGCGAAATCGAGAGGTATTATGAGTTGAGTAAATAATAATTAAGCTTCGCGTTTACGTATCTATTCCACGATTTGCAAATTGACTTAATTAAAGAAGCTACGAGTACACTATACAAGAACTCTTGATTTGCATGTCAAGAAGTCACACATTACTTTTGTAGAAAAACATTTTCAATTTGAGATAGTAATTTTAAATTTCGTATGTTTATAAAATGAAATGGCCTGAAAATGTCTACTTTATACGAACGAAAAAGAAGGCGGAAATAGATAAGGATGTTTATGAAATGTATGTCATTTCTTCTTTCTAAACGATTAAACTTGATCTCATCGTGATTATGTGTTGCTCTTGCTTTAAAAGTAAATGGATTCGTTTAAAGTTTCAATACGCCACTTAATTTTTGAGTTTATTTAATATGGAAACCGAAAATATTTCCAATTCATATGAACAACGCATTGAATTTAAACTAAAAAAACTACGAAATATTTTAATGTAATTTACGTGTTAATAATTCATCTTCAGAATCAGTAGTTTATTGGCATGATTTGTTATTGTCCTCGCAATAGACTAATCGTTATGTAAAAGTACCTAAGTCTTTATAGAGAGAACCTAAAGGTCAATCTCGAGAACTATCCCGCAGGAGACAATAACTGCGCGGAACTGAATATCATTGAATGAAACCCTCGCATGGGCATCAAAGGTGTCAACTGTCGCTAAGGCCATAAGAAAGGCAAAACGGGAATCGTGGAGGAGGTAATGAAACAAAGGGAATGCAATACCGGGATCGCTTGATCCCACCGGGATCCCGCAGCACTTTTGCGGGATTAATCCCGCACATAAATGGAACGGGATCCCGCGGGATTTGCGGGACTGAGGAATTTATCGATCAAGGGGACGACTGTGTTTACTTTGTTAATGTAACGCAAAACGGAGAAATTAATAATTGTTAAACTTTTTTCGTTAAAAATGTACTATGATTTTTGAAGCACTTTAGGTTCACCTGTTGCTTTACAGGTGATTTTTTTGAGTTATAAGTTAGGCTGAAGGTACCTTTTTGTTGAATATTGTGATAATTAGCGATTTATTTTAATACAGAAGTTAACCGCACAGAATTGCTTATTTGCCAATTTATTTAAAGTTTTGCAAATTCTGGGATCCCGCGGGATTAGCATCTAGCAATCCCGCAAATACCGGGATTAAGATTTTGCTGCGGGATTGCATTCCCTACTAGAAACCAATTTCGAAAGAAAATTCAAAGGGCTGTAACTTTTGAACTAGTAGCCCAATCTTGGAACTGTTTGAAATTATGGATTCTACAGGCCACATTGTATAAGAAAATTTTTTTTCCGGGTCGATCTGAGACAATTTTTTTTCGGGGCTCAAAAAAAGGCAGTGTATAACCTTCCTTTTTTACCAAAAATCGACTGCACCAACATTTCTCGGGAAAACACTTTTTCTTATTAATTTTGGTGCGTAGAATCCAAAACAATTCGTACTTTTTCGATTAGACTTCTCAATCAAAAGTTATAGACTAGAAACCAATTTCGAAATAAAATTCAAAGGGCTGTAACTTTTGAACTAGTAGCCCAATCTTGGAACTGTTTGAAATTATGGATTCTACAGGCCACATTCTATAAGAAAATTTTTTTTCCGGGTCGATCTGACAATTTTTTTTTCGGGCCTCAAAAAAAGGCAGTGTATAACCTTCCTTTTTTACCAAAAATCGACTGCACCAAAATTTCTCGGGAAAACACTTTTCCTTATTAATTTTGGTGCGTAGAATCCAAAACAATTCGTACTTTTTCGATCAGACTTCTCAATCAAAAGTTATAGACTAGAAACCAATTTCGAATAAAAATTCAAAGGGCGTAACTTTTGAACTAGTAGCCCAATCTTGGAACTGTTTGAAATTATGGATTCTACAGGCCACATTCTATAAGAAAATTTTTTTTTCGGGTCGATCTGAGACAATTTTTTCTTCGGGCCTCAAAAAAAGGCAGTGTATAACCTTCCTTTTTTACCAAAAATCGACTACACCAAAATTTCTCGGGAAACCACTTTTTCTTATTAATTTTGGTGCGTAGAATCCAAAACAATTCGTACTTTTTCGATCAGACTTCTCAATCAAAAGTTATAGACTAGAAACTAGGAAATGCAATACCGGGATTGCGGGATCCCGAACTACCGGGATCCCGCAGCATTTTTGCGAGATTAATCCCGCACATAAATGGAGCGGGATCCCGCGGGATTTGCGGCACTGAGAAATTTGTCGACCAAGGGGACGACTCTGCTTACTTTGTTAATGTAACGAATAACGGAGAAATTAATAATTGTCTTGCCCTGGAACAATGGCGTGGAGGAACCATTAGAGTACTCACTACTCACAATAGACGCATCATTATGAAATTGAATTTGTATTAAAAAAATATAATTTCTTAAGAGGGGAGAGATAATACTTTTATGTGCACTTAAAAGGGGTCTCGTCAATCCTGTAAACAAAATCAAACAAGAAAACGAAAGCATTCGATGTACTACCAAAATTACAGCACTCACTAAATGAACCATTACCGTTATGTAAAAGTGAATTTCTATAAAAAATTTATAATTTTAAAACGGAGGGGAGAGGGAGGATATACTTTTATGTGAACTTAAAAAATATTTGATCCTCTAGAGTGGGTTTTATTTAAAAAAAAAACTTGTAATTATTACAACGGGGAGAGGGTATACCTTTATGTACACTGTACACTTGAAGGGTGGTTTGTGGATCCTGCAAACAATATCAAAAAAACCAACAAAAATGTTTGCGGTACCACAAAAATTACAACCTTGGCAATACCTAAATTGATACCTGTCTACAAAAAATTAAAATTCTTGAAACGAGGAAAGGATATATTTTTTTGTACATTTAAAGGGTGGTTTATAAATCCTGCAAACAGTATTAAGCAAGAAATCAAAAATTTAATAATCACAGCTCTTGCAATAGACGCATCGTTATATGTAAACGTGTTTACTCTGTGGACTTTAAATTAAACAAAAATAAAACAACAATAAAAATAATTTTATAGAAAGATAGAAGAGTTATATTCGATTATAATCTGATGGTCTTCCTTTGCCTTAAGCCCAACCTAGAAAAGTGCCTGCCAACCCTTTTACTGTATCATGGATAGGTACTCGCGTGAGTTAAACATATAGGAATATAATGTGCTTCTTTGCAAATACTCCGTGCACTATTATCAAAACTCAGGAGACGAGGCCTTTACTAGATTTTTGGCCATTTATCAATATGGCGGCGCTTAACTACAATTTCCGGTCTGGTAACCTTGCTTACCGTAAGCATAGAGTAAATACAATTAATATAGCCTGTGAAATGCTATTTGCACTGCAGTACAATCTTATATTGAACGTTACGAAAAATCTTAATTTTCAAGTTTTTTTCGCAGGCATCTTTTCCAGTAATTTCAAACTTCTGGAGACGAATGTAAAAATAAGCCGCTAACATAAACCAAACGAGGAACCATTAGTAGTTCTACCGTTTTGCGTTGAGAACAGATTTTAGAACAATGTTCTAGATTAACTCGTACTACAACTTCAAGTATAAAACTAGAATAAAGGGGGTTAATTGTAATTATGTTTTATGACACGAAAGTTTATTTCGTGTGCTAAAATGAATGCTGTTTATTCAAGCAGTGTACCTAATATCGACCAGGTCCTCACTTGACAATGTTTTATTTCTATATTGTTGCAGCATTTATTCTCAGCCACACTCTTGCACGTGGTATGTATATTTTAAATATACCGTAGACATTTTATATTGCGGAATTAAATATGGATTAGTGTAGTTTACGGTTGCGGTAGTAGAAGTTTCGAACTAGCTAGCAATTGCTTTATCTGCAGTGACTTTGTTCGCGAACCGTGGATCTCTTTGGTGCATTTCAATCCAGTTTATATAGCAGAAAATGCCGCACGCAGTTACGAATCAGCGCCATATTTTCCGTTTCGCCAATTTTCTTCGGAAATGAAAACAATTTCCCCGGAATAATGTGCGATCAGTTCAATAGAAGACAAAACAGTCGACAACAATAAAAACGGTATAATCTGCAAAGGAATATCTTGTTTTACTTCCTAAGAGTTGGACATAAAACGGAGAAAACGCACTGGTCCGTTTTATGAGCAATGAAAAAAATTTCCTGCTGACTAAAAGGTCAGCACTTTGTAGGTGTATCATCCCTATGCAAAACGGCCAAACAATACGCACTTAACGTGTTTCGATCCTTGTAATAATTAGCGCTTTGTGTCGACTTCAATTTCGCGTTTAAGAAATCTCAAGAGGGTTGATCTGTAACTTCAGCATTTTACATAAAGCTCAAATATCTAGTGTTAACTCAAATTATTCCTAAAAGTCTTCGTCGGTAGATTAACATAAAAAATTTGAATTTTTAATCTCGTAAAAATGTGCTATCCGGAAATAAGCGCGAAAATTGGAAATGGTTGTTGACATAATTCAACGCGAATGCTTGATTAGGAGGCGGATGAAAATATCAAGTTTGCTCATGAAATCGCAATTCGGTTAACAACTAAAAGGGGAGATGTCTATTTAGATGTGTTGATAAATTCATACAAAAATGTAATAAAAATGCGTGGTCGCCAAGTCGGTAACAATAAAATTTAAATGACCCTTAGTAATAACGCAATATGATATAGAAATGGTTGCGGTTCAACCCTAGAACATACTAATGTATAAATTGTGCATGTGAAGGTATGGAATACTCGGGATGCCCGGAATCCAAGAAACAGTACCCGGGGGACTGCCGCCTTTTCTACAAATGCGTCTCACTCTCGGAGGCGGCGCACGCGTACGTTTGGGTGCCATCTCGCTGCAGTGCGGGTCTGGTAAGTTGGGTTCACAATATGTTTGATTTCTTCCCTTATTCTGTCCCCACAGGTTACCGCTAACATGATTAATAACGCACGGCTAACGCCTATCATCTTTTATTTATTATTACTTTTCTCTTGCGAATATTAAAGCGTAATTTAAAATCGCAATCTAAACTAACTTTTCTCTCCCTCGAATAAACTTTAGAGTGTACTTACTCCAATCCATTGCGAAAACACCCTCGGCCGGACAAAAATTTATCTCGCACCATGAATATTTAAGCGTTCAAAATGCTGCCGAAACGAACTATTAAAAATCGCTCAGTTTTCAATTACTAAATTTATTGAAAACGAATACCTTTTTTTCAAAAGTCGAATGACAATTAGCGTCAGTTCCACTCTCGAGCTTTTAAAATGGGATTATCGCATTTCGTTTTTCAATCTTGTCATGAATCATATTTCCACTTTCCATATTCATTTTCTTAAAACAAAAGTTCTGTACTTACATCTCCGCCAATTTCGGAAATCGATTTTCTTAAATTGATGTATAAATTCCTCGCACATTATATCCCAAACATATATTCTTATAAAAACCCGAAATGAACTAAACCATCTAAATGGAATCCATTGCCTCTTCGTGGTTATAAGAAAATGCATTACAACCCCTAGGATCAAGATAATACATTTATTTTAATCGAGGTATCGTTGGCAGAATTAGGTGTCATTTTTCTTAATTTTTATTATTTTGGGTAAATGATGAGCGTGCAAAGCTAATATTTATCCACCAAAATCGCTGCATTCGGTTATACTGGGTGAACACTGAATATATCTTCAAAGCAACGTTTTTTTTAAAGAAGTTTTTTTATAGTTTACAAAATTATAAAAAAGTTCGGTACCAATATACGTACTTTGAATTTGTTTAAATCCGTTCTTTTAAATTTGATTAAATCTATAATGAGTTTTTTATGCTGCTATATCTAAAAAGTGCCGGATTGGGAAGTTTAACAACGGAAAGAAAAGGCCAATACTAGTAAAACTGAATAAAGAACGAGTTAGAACGAGGATCTTCCAGAGCTCAAATAAATTAAAAGGAACGGATATCTGGATCAATGAGGATTATCCCAAGGATGTGCTGCTGGATAGGAAGAGATTAATACCGCAAATGAAGGAGGCAAGAAACAAAGGAGCGAGAGCGGAAATTAAATACAACCGACTGATAATAAATAATGAAGTATATAGGGCAGGCGACGTACTCGGAAGTAAAAGTACTAGCTATAAAAGGACAGCGAATGAAAGATCGCCGGAAGGAGTCAGCTTTGAGGAGCAACTGCGGAAGGCTAGCCGAATCGATATAAAAAACTAACAAGGGTGGAGGAGACGGAAGCGATCGGAAACGAAAAGGGCTATGGACAAGGACACGAATTTCAGATAGGGAAACAAAAACGCAGAAAAGAAAAATTGACTAGAGTTGGCACATGGAACGTACGGGGTACAAATAACGAAGGAGCACTAAAAGAGTTGGCGTCGATTATGAGCGATTATGATATAGATGTCCTGGCAGTACAGGAGACAAAGCAAAAAGGACAACAGGTCATCCCGGTAGACAACTTCACCTTCTATAATAGTGGAGGAGCAAGTAGATACCTAGGGGTGGGGTTTTTAATAAACAGTGAGATCAAGGACGCAATAGTGGATTTTGAGGCCGTAAATGATAGGATTTGTCGACTACGAGTCAGAGGCAGATATAGGAAAATAACAATAGTAAATATACACTCTCCAACGGAGGACAAAGAATTGACAGTTAAGAGTGAGTTCTATGAAGAAGTGGGAAGGATATTGGAGAGAACTCCCAAGTACGATGTCAAAATCGTATTAGGGGATTTAAATGCCAAGATAGAAAGGGAGGAGGAATATATCAAAGTAACCGGGGGTAATAGTAAACACCACGAGTCAAATGAAAACGGAAAAATCGCAATACAGTTTGCTTTGGAAAACAAATTGAAAGTAATGAGCACGAATTTCAAACATAGAGAAATACATCAAACAACGTGGATTTCGCCGGACGCGAAGACCAAAAGCCAGATAGATCACGTACTAATGGAAAGTAAACACCAAAGGTACATACAAAATGTAAGAAGTTACAGAGGCGCCGATATCGACTCAGACCACATCCTAATAATTGCTACACTAAGACAAGGCCCACCAAAGAACTGGAAAGCAGCAAAGACCACATTAGTCAAATATAACGTGGAAAAACTTCTGAACCAAGAGGTGCAAACGGAAGCAGCGAAGCAGCTAGATTATACATTAAAGAAGCTACAGAAACCAGACAATATTGAGGAGGAGTGGAGTCAAATGGAAAACACATTAAAGGACACCATGGAAAAATTGGTGGGAAGAAAAACCAAAGGAAAACAGAAGGATTGGTTCGATGAACAATGCAGGAAGATACTGCAAGTACGGAACGAAGCTAGAATGAAACTACTAATACACAGTACGGAAACAAATAAACGGGAGTACAAAGAAGCAAGGAGAAGGTCTAAGCAAATATGCAGACAAAAGAAGAGAGAGTATTTGGAAGCGAAGCTAGAGAAAATAGGGAAAATGTACGCGAACAAGGAGCTAAGAAACTTCTACCAGGAAGCAAAGAGAAATCGCGAAGACTCAAAGCCCAGCAGCATTCCACATCTAAAAAACAAGGAGGGGGAAATGATCGGGAACACCCACGATAAGGTTAGAATATTTATGCAGTATTACGGGAGACTGGAGAGGGATGAAGAGGAGCAAGAGCGTGAGGAGGATGAGAAAATGCAAGAGAGGATAGAAGAGGGAAGCAACCACGAGGGAATAATGGAACCAACGAAAGCAGAAGTAATAGAAGAGCTAAATAATTTAAAAAATTACAAAAGCACTGGAGAAAATGGCATACCAGCAGAATTATATAAGTGGGGAGGAGAAAGGCTTAAACAGACAGTAACGAATCTGATCATAAAGGCGTGCCACAGGAATGGCATAACGCGATCGTATGCCTAATACATAAGGAAGGGGATAGGTGTATGTGCGAAAATTACCGCGGAATATCGCTTCTCGATGTGGCATATAAGATTTTCGCGCGAATAATACGAAACAGGCTAACTGAGCA